TAACTCCGAAGAGATCTCACATGACTAACAGCTGCCACTCTGACAGCAGTGCTGCAGATATTACTCCTAACATTAAATTTCAGCCACAGTTCCTTATATCTCATCGTTGGCAAATCAGGTGCTGAGGGTAAACTTCCATCCTTACCTTATATGAGACCCGACAAACCTGCGGTGCTGCATTTCTTCTGTTTCTTCACCACAAAGCCCCACTGCGGGTCTTTAGTAAATATGAATATATCCAATTTCACTGTTTAGCACCAAAAAGTGAACCACAAAGCCTCAGTAAATATCCCCCTTAGTTTTGCATAGTGCTTATTGATGCTCTGTCTCATTCCTTGTTTGTTCAAATGTGTAATGAAGCCTCTTTATTTTATTGGCAGTGTTAATTTGTAGTTTGCCTTTGAGTCCACTATAAAACTGATGGGAAGCAGGACAGACACACAAGAGCACATCATCCATTCCCATTGTTATTGTTGAAGAATGTAATGTATGCAGCTTAAAGCTACAGACTGTGGGGAATATAACTGATTTAATTATTTATAGTTGTTACAGTGCAGAAGTTCACTGGTTGTAATTACTGTAGATTGTGTTGTAGACGGTATCAGAACTAACTTGAGCACATGCACCCTCAGTGCATATAAACTTATATTTTTGACTTGGGGTAAGGGAGGTAGACTGGTTTCAGGTTTTCACGTCCACACCTCTGATTTATTCAGTCATACCAACAGCTCTGGTGTTATGTGTACACAAAAATGCTGCCCCCAGTTTGAGATTCAGTCAACCCATTAGAGTTGGTTGGTGGGATTAATGGCATGACACATAGCTACCAAGCTACATCCAGAAAAACATCACAACACTTATGGACGTTTGGTACAGATTGGAAAGTTAGAAGTAGGTCAGTAATGGCTTCTCTTAAACTGATATACAACTTTCACTGACATGGCAAATTTTAAAGCTGCATCACTCAGTGTTTTTCTATTAACAATGGATTAAATGTCTATGTGTAGTGTGAAATTTGTCACTTGGAAAGACAAGACTATTATCTTCAGTGTTCCCCTCAGCTCTACAGAACTCTTTAATCTTTCCGCTCATTGTTTTGGTTTTTACTGTTTTGGGTCAGTTTCACAGCTGACAGATGTTTCCAGCTAAAGAAGCCCAGCACCAAACTGTACACAGACAAAGGTAAAGATAGTAAACAGAGTAGAGCATTTAGGAACTATAGAGTCAGATGTTTCCTTTAGAAGTGGGTGGAGCTCTTCAGTTTCTTCAGGCTCTCACATTTATACTAATCTAACAAGTCTAATCGAACATGAAAACATTAACACATGTTGAAAATGAGAGGCTGAATTTAATTTAAAAGTTTATGACTGGTGGGAAAGAATGTGTGTTAGCAGTTAAAAGTCTTCATTTAATACAAAAAATCACCAATTACAATATAGATCAAGATCAAAGATTTTTATTGTCAATTCACTGTATGTGCAGGACATACAGAAAATCAAAATACTGTTTCTCTCTCACCTAATATTTAACATTTAAGAAATAGAATAAAAGTAGAATAAAAATAGAATAAAACAGAATAAAAAAACTAAATTAAAGTAATTAGGATAAAACCAAATGGTAACAAAATCAGTGACAATAGTGCAAATAATAACCAGAAGATTGTCATATGGTCAGCATCACCAGGGGCGTTGATGATGAGGTGCACATGGACAGTAGTAAAAATGATAAATACATGTAAATCCTCTGTTTGGCTGGTTTTGGTGTTTCCTCCCCCTGAGCTTTAGGAGAGTGTTTATTGTTGTTGTTAGATGTATCTTCCCTTCTTTTATCTCATACTCTATAACTTGCTTATTATGAATTATTGTTCTGTCTTTTGTATGTCCCAGACAGCACATATACATCTGGCTGATGTTTATGGTTTCTGTTCTTTTGTTGCTGTGCATTTAGACATGTGACAACAAAAAAGACAATGAAGTTGAAACAAAGCTAAATATGCTCAAAACACCAATTTCCTGTGGTGATAATATGTCAGGGTTGTGCTTTATAGATTGTCCGCTGCCCCCAAGTGGTCAAAAAATGAATTATGCAGCTTTAAAATGCTCCAGCGACCACTCCAGCAGTCTCTGTGGTGAATGAAAATGATGGATGGATAGGTGACTTGCTATTACCTGGTTGAGACAAACAAAACAAAGTATAGGCCAAAGAAAACTATTTACTCAGCAATTTTACTTTTCAGAGTAAAAAGAGGCAGCGAATGAAGGCATGAAAATGAACTAAATCAGTTTTGTGATCTGGGCTCAAAGCGATGTAATTGTTTCAGGCATTTTTGCATACTGATTTGTTTCTCTTGTTTTACACATGTGGCTGAGAGCTCCCTTTGGAGAAACGGAACCGACTGGAATCAAATTGGATTCATCTTAAGTGAACTAGGCATAGATATTTAATGGATTCTTTTAATGGAAATTTAAATGTGTTTTAAAAAGGATACATAACAGTTTAGACAACTCTTCATATCACATTTTCACAGCAGGGGATGACAAGATTTACTAAATTCCATCATATGAAAGTGTACACTACCAGGAATATAACGGCCTGACAACTCAGTGTATCTTTGGAAGTCTGAAAAATTATTTGATGGAGAAATCACAATGGCAAATAGCATTCTCTGACGTGTAATGAGGTTTGCTCTGCTTAATGAGGCAAAACAAAACAGAGAATACACAGACAGTACAAACAAAATATCTAGACTAGAGGAGGAGTCTTCAATGTGGAAAATTGCGTTTCTCCTGCAGCTGATCCAGAATTTTAATAACTAGCAGCCTCAGAGACTATGTGTAAGGCTGAAGTTGGCAATGCTCCAGGATATTTATCTTAGAATCATACTCCCAATTAAACGACTTGCAAAGCAAACACATCTATAAATTCACAGACAGGTTTTTAGTAGCTTGGGGATCTGTAAGCAAGACAGATTTATTTATAAAACTGTTCTGTCACTGCAAATGAAATAAGGCTGTATAATTGATGCCACGAAGGTATGGAGTTGGAGACTCATACAAATATGGGCCTGGCCTTTAGAGAATTTTACTGTTCCATTTACATTGTCTTCATCCAGTTCAGCAAAGTAAGAAAAGCTCAGTAACCCTGTGGGCTTGTTTCTAAAAACAGGCTTCCTGAAATAAGTGGGAAACAATACATAAAACCATGAATAAGACTATTTCTAAGCACATTATTATTTCATGCTTATTTCATGCATCTGTTGCTTTGATTTTAAACTGATGAAAATGTCAATTTTACCCGTCAGTGTACACTCAACCATCCATTATGGCAAAATGAAAACATGCTTTTAGGAATAACATAACATGTGAATTTCATCATGGCAAATCATAATGTGACTCAGAAGCGTGTGTGGCCCCTGTGTACCTGTATGCACTCCCGACAATGTCTGGGCTGCCCCTGATGAGTCAGCTGATGGTGTTTTGGGGGATTTCCTTCTAGACCTGGATCAGGGCATCAGTGAGCTCCTGGACAGTTTGTGGTGGTACCTGGTGATACGTAATGTCCCATAGGTGCTCATTTGGATTTAGGTCAGGGGAACATGAGGGCCGATCAATAGCATTACTGCTTTCCTCATCTATGTACTGCCTACACACCCCTGGCCACCTGAGGCTGAGCACTGTCCTGCACCAGGGAGAACCCAGGGCCCACTGCACCAGTGTAAGATCTGACAGTTGCTCTGAGGATTTCATCCTGGTTCCTCACAGCAGTCAGGGCAACGCTGGCTATGACATTGAGGTCTGTGAACCTCCCCACCAC